ATATTAAAGGGCTGGGGTCCTCGGCGTCCCTTTTAGGGTTTGAAATCAGTATTTTGGTCCCGCTTAGGATGATCATGACAAGAATTCCTACCAACTGTGTTTTGTGGTCCCTTTTAGGGTATACGGCGACCCTAAGCAGTCATAAAATGGCAACGTCATATACTCAATACGAGCCGACGGTGTTCGATGATTGTGTAAAAACAMAAATRWAATCGGTAAACCAAAACAAAATGACCTGTTATTGATTGGTCCCTTTTAGGGTTGAAATTTTGATTCCTCCCTACAAACCAAGTTCAAATCAGAAAATTATACAAGGATAATTGAAGGAAATAAAATCACACTGTAGCATGTCGTAGGCCCGAGGGATGCATTGGCAAATTACCAACGTTCGAGTATGTTTGTAAGCATCAGGAGCGTAGCGTCCTTTACGCACGTGCGTACTAGTGGCAAGGAAATATTAAACTTTTTACAAAAACTACTGAAATACCCTCGATGTCTCTCAAAACCGACTCAAAACGCTGGAAATCGCATTTCAAAGAGTTATTATTTCAAAATTTCATGGGGGAGGTCCAGAATCCCTTAATACCCCTGCCTTTGGCGGTCGTTAGACCCCCCAGATCCAAAATATGTGTCGCGGTCCCTGAGATGTGCGTACTAGCCAAAAAGTCCACGCTATGCGCCTGAGTATGTTTGTCAAATCATAGTTATTACTAATTATGGTCAAATACAGCAAGTTGAATAACAATGAAAACTGTGTCAAATATGATATAAAAGAAAAATATTACTCTCTATTTTTCTTTTGTTTTCACGTTTTGTTTTGTTTTTGCACTTTTCTAGTAAATACTAACACTGCAGGTAGTGGAAAAGTTGAAATTTTATGGTTTAATCTCTTTTTGTACTGATTCTATTTCATGATCTTCAGGGTGGTAGACCWGTGTGGTCTCGCAGTTGCATTGAAAAAGAATACTTAGAAACTTGTTTTCTCTCAAGCTGTCTTTCCGCTGTGTTGATGTTATCAGGTTTCTCGCAATTGAAGCTTCATTTTTTTTTCTTGGATGACCATCTAGACATTTCCAACCCTACTTAACTTAAAATCAATATCAAACGAAAAGTGAATTTTCGAAACTGAGACAAAGAATTCATGTCAAGCTAATTCATGTGAAACCAAGGTCAATAATTTGCCCTACTTCTCCAAATGAATTTTTCATTCCTCTTTCATTAAATAAACGAATATTTCTTTATACCTTCCTGTTAAAATATAAAATCTGAGTTCCGTGTTTTTAATG